GTTTTATACCAAATTAATAAAATTGTTATACAAAACTCGTGCACCGCGCAAGTAATATTCTAGTTAGACTAACCAATTTCTTTTGGAAATTTATATTACTTTTGAAATTATAAGATGTTCAAAATAAAACACGAAATTGATAAATTATTTCTATGTTTTTCGGAGAATTATGTGTATAATCGCCAGCTTTGAATTTTAATTTGTATCCCAACTAGCTTTCAAAAAAAAAAAATCAAATGACCTAAAAAGAAAAAAATATTTTTTCATAATTAGTTTAAAAAAATTCCACCAACCAAATTTTTACTTTGTCGAATTGAAAAAAATAAAAATAAATCAAATAACATTAAAATCTTCATACAAAATTGTAATTAATAAGAAGTCCATACGATAAAAAAAAACTACGACATTTCGATTAACTCAAAAATAATTTGCTTCAAATTCTAAACTAGTGTACTATATTTTTTGCATGTGATTTAAAATAAGTTACATAATATCATGTAACTGATATATCAATAAAAATAACATGTGTTTTGTAAAAACCTAATCCACAAAATTCATGTTATTTACAAAACATACGATCAAACATAATTATTTTTGAAAAGGTTATTGTCAAGTTCGCAATCTATCATTTTGCAGATAATAGGTTTGGATAGGTCGGAACCGGATACGCAGAAGCAAAAGCATATTAGCGAGGAGTCAGCATATAACACTTTCTGATTCTTTTGATACTTGCTTTATCAAATTGTCCAGTTATTTATTATCCTTTTTCCACTTTGTACATAGCACTATTATTTTTTGTTGAACAATAGATCTGAAATTTCAAAAAAAAAAGAGAGTTAAATTATACTCTCAAAATATAATTTATTACCTATCTTTAACAGCAACAAATTTCGATTTATTCTTAAAATTTAAGATGAACAAATTTAAATGTAACCCTATATATTATTTTACACAAATGTAGAAAAAGAAATACTTGTTTGTCTGTTTCCCTCCCTCTATATTAATCTATTATGACAATATTAATCTATTATGACAAAACAACCCATCACTGGATACTTTTTACAACAAGTTGCACATACAAAGTTGATCTCACATTAAGAAAAACTAATG